AGAAAACTAAAGAAATTCTCCTCCAATCCTAATAAAAATCTAGGTAGACCCTACTTAAAATTCTCAACTTTTCTCCTTGCTTTAAGAACCCTTGATCCAAGTTAAAGAACCCTTGATCTATCAATTCCAACTAGCAAAAACCTTCCAAACAAAAAGATGGTGGCATAAATCAGAAGAGCGAACTGATTCAAACCCGAAACTCGGAGTTTCGAGTCCCTAAAGGTAAATATATATTTATTTGCTTTAATTTAATTTGTTTTTATCATTTAATTATCTGCTTTATTTTATTTTTTTCTAGAAACTAATTCATCATTATATTTAATTAAATATAGAAATATTTTTAAGTAAAAAATACGGATTTGAAGCTGAGGCTGCCAGTAGACTCTGAAAAAGACCAGATTTGTATAGATCTGGGATTTCTCTGAACCCATAATTCAAACGACCCCACTTTCTCTACCTTTTAAAAAATAATACATTTTTTATTAAGATTTGAACAAATCTCATCATAGAGATCGGTACAGATCTGAATGTAAACAGATATGTATGTAATTTTTCCTATTTTCTTAAATTCGTTAAATGACATCAAGGCTTTTACGATCTTGAATTTATTAGTTTTATTTTCTTTAAAGCGAGAATTATTGTAATAAGACTACTGTAAGTGATCTTTACCAAAAGAAAAAAAAAAAATTGAATAGACGAAAAATGAAAAAAAATATATATTCCCTGACAAGATCGCATTAGTCTTTCTTTCACTCGGAACCATCCTCAAACACCTCAGCCTCACGTCGAAGTTTCGCAGCATCTGCCTCAGACTTATAAAGTGTTATGCATACTATGTCCTCCTCATGTGCCCCAAAGACGTGTTAGATCTCTCATATATGGGTCGAACGTCATACAAAACAACCGTCTTCATCAGCTTTGGATAGCCATGAGGGGACTACGTCAGAGCCGTTGTAAGTATTTGTGTTAGGAGAGGAGTCCATGTTCTATCAAGTAAAGTAATGTATTAAGAAAATGACCAACAATAATTAAAGTAAAACGTGACTCAATAGAAAGACAAATGCACATAACATCCAAGATCAATTAATACACTATTAATAAAAAATGCACACACTAAATGTGAAATCTCACCAACCTAAACCACGTCATGAACAAAAGAAACAGCAGCTGCACATTCATGCCTACGTGCAACTATTACCCTCTCTCTCTCTGTTTGCAATTGGATATGCTGGTTTTTCTGGCTCGATTAAAGATCTATGGCTTTGAGTTCAGAAACATTACCGAGCCAATGATAGCTTACGAAAATATTTGTGGGTTACATTTTTCATATAAATGGCTCACACGCCTAGGAAAATACCTCACAATAGCTTTCCAAAACAGCAGTCCAAGAACAGCTATAAAAATTTAATACCAACTTTTTTATTGTCAACGATAATCCTGCTTTATTCTTTTTGTGTTAGAGGTGCGCTAGGCCTGCACAATATGGTAGAGAAAGAGAGTGAGAGAGGAGAAAGAGATAAAAAAGCAAAGAGATTGTAAAATGAGAAATAGAGGAGAGCGATAATGAAGCGTTACGTCTAGAAAAAATGAGATAGAGAGAAACCTGCCCGCCTTCTGTGAGAGAGAGAGAGACGCCTGCCCTCTGTGAGAGAGAAAGATCCTTGAGAGAGAGACCTGCCTGCCCTCTGTGAGAGAGAAAGACCAAAGAGAGAGACCCGCCTACCCTTGAGAGAGAGACCCACCTATAGAATTTTTTAGATCAGGTCCGGATCCACCCAGATCCAAAAGTATAAATAAAATTCGGGTCCTGATCTGGTTGGATCTTAAATGTTTGAATCCGGATACGGATTTGGGTCGGAATCAATTCCATGCCTAACCAAATTGAACAGTAGGTGGAAATTTCACTTAACTTTAGGGATAATTTCATTAAGGGAAGTGATTTCCTGCGACCATTGTACTATAATATCATGCAAAGATGTGTTAACATAATTTAAGTCATTAGATCAACTACAAACCAATGGCTAAGGTTGAAATCAACTTTGTCTTTTTTTTAAAATTTAAAAGTAACATTTTTAATTTTGAACTCAAAATCCCCACCCTATTTCCCTCCGTTTCTCCCTCCCCCAAATATTCTCCCTTCCCACCCTCTTCTCTGTCTTCCTCTCATTCTCTCAACCTTATTGTCTCTAATCTAAATATCCCGTCCCTTATTCCTTCCCAAAGAAATAGAGCTACCCATATGAGAAGACCATGGATATTCATCAAGAAGATAAAGATTTACAGGAAGATTCAAGGTGAGCCTTTTACTTTATTTTTTTGGGTTTTTTGCTTTCCTTAGATCCTGGTTCAACCTCTCTCTTTATATATACACCTTTATATATACATCTCTCTCTTTATATTGGAGTTCTCCTTTTCTATTTTTTTGGTTTTACAGCTGTAAAGGTTCTTGTTTGTAGCAGTAAAAAAGTCTAAAAATTCATAGCCAAGAAACTCAATTTATGAAAAATTCATTGATTTCAGTAAATCAGTGAGCTCAAATTTGATTTTACAGTGAACTTGTTGAAATTTTGTTGATTTTAGTAAATTGCACTATTTTTTTTTTCATTGGCAATTTGGTTCAATTGTGTTTCAACTAATAAAGGTTTGTAACTTCCTGGTTGAAGGCTTTCAATTGCTTGATCAATCTTAAGAACATTAGTCTCTACCTCATTACTCAAAAAATTATCTAATTTTATTGTACTTGGTAACTGCCACTTTTACATGTAAGGTTATATGATGTTGATGTAGCCACTTCTCTGTTGAAAGCAATCTTGAAAATGGGGGGACCTTTGTATTCAAGCTTGTTAAATGCAAAAAGCCTTTGTATTCAAGCTTGTTAAATGCAAGAAGGAATTTATTGTGCATATATTCAAGGTAGTCAAAGAGACCAATCTTTGGGATGAACCAGTTACACTGCAAATACTTGACGCTGCAACCATAGATGAAGACTAAACCAATGTGTATTTAACTTATTTTTCTGTATATATTTAAGGGTGAACTTTGGAGTGTGGAGAGAATTTTTTTGCAGATTTGGAACCATCTTACGGCTTGTATTTGATATACATATGCTATGGAAAGTTTAATTTCTCTTATCCTCTTAAGAGTTTTCCCTTATTGGAGCTGGTTATTCTAGTGTGGATACTTGTTACTGTTTGACTATGACATAATGAGCAATGGCTTTGTGAATAATGCTTGTATGTTTTAGATGTGGCGAAAAATTTATGGTCACTTAATGATTCTATGCATATGATTCTCTTTCCTAATGAATATATTTCGATGTATCTCTCTCTGTGTTAAAAAATCTCCAAAGGCATGCAGCTTTCCTCATTCATTACACAAAAGCAAATATAATGGCATTTCAAGGCACATCCATGCAATTTCCTCACATAACAAGAGCCTATGAATATTTGAATGTATTATACCATCAATAATACAATAGAAGAACAAGAAAAGGATTCATCGAGGAACAATTTTGAGGGCCTATATCTATTGTGCAGCTATTCACATCATACTAAAGCATTGAACCCAATATCAGAGACTGACAGAAATTTTGTCAGGAAGAATAACACAACGAATTGACCATGAACCAAAATAGTCTAACCATTCACATCCCACAAATTCCTCATAATGAATTGCCTCTAACATTCCCTTATTTTTCCCTATACATGTACATTTCAATGGGGCAACCATGTCTCAAACTATATGTATACGATGAAAAAGATGAGAAAAAATTATCCTAGAGCTTATATGCTACGAGAAAAATATCCTGTTGAATATAGATCAAATAGGATCCTATTTAGTAAAATTATATCTATCAACACATGAAACCAAAGACTCTCACCATTTCAGGCATCAAGAGAAACTCGGACAAACAAATAATTTCTTTTGCAGCTATGGTTCTTCGCACTCAAGCTCTAAAACCAAAACCTCAAAACCAAAGAAAAAAGCTTGAAACCTTAATAAACAACCTGTGTGGCACAACAACAAACTTAATTGCAGCAATAACTTCATATGAACTTGGCTTCATGGTCATCATATTGATGTTGTAGTTGCATTTGAGATCATGAGCTGGTTAAATTTCCTAGCCTCAGATCAAGACGTTTCCATAAGGATTTATATTGATGTTGAATGACCCTTGTGCCTCTCTTAAAGGAAGAAAAAGAAATTGTAGATTGGCATACAATCACCTCTACTGATGAGCGAGGTCTACAAGAACCTACTGAAATTCAGTGGTGCAGCAATAATGATTGAGAGGAGTGAATCAATTTTTTTTTTTTTTAAGTTCCTTAGGCATCATCGAAATATTTGCAAGAAGTAGCAGAATGCAACACAATAATGCACTATTTTGGCCATTTTTTATCCTTAATTCTGATTATGGATTATTTTATTCTCATCATTTTATATATGACCAAATTGCTTCAAAGAATTCTTCTCCACAACCATTGAAATCACTTCCCAAGCCTCAAAGAATATTACCTTTGGCCACCATGAGAGTTGTATGAATTTTTCTTAAGATATATTGAGTATTTCATATAAATTTAGCATCAAGATTTGACTCAAAATGATATCAAATAATGCTTGATCTACTGCTGCTAGAATAGCAGCAGTTACAAGAGAAAAAATAGTAAATATCCAATGATCCAGTAAATGAGAAGGCAATACTCTATACAAAAAATGGTACCTCTTGGAACATGGCCACATATACAAAAAATGGTGCTAATTAAAGAACATCGTACAACCAATAAAAAAGAAAAAGAAAAATGTGGACCAAAGTACAAAAAGATTGATTAAATTCTACCAAAATCCCACAGTTCTTCTTGATAAGCCGAATTTCATGAGAACAAGAACAGTTTCAACTTTTATGGTTTGTGAAGCTAAGAAGCAATTGCAGAAACAACACAGAATTGTTTTCTTGCTAAAGACATTCATCAAGCTACATTGTATGTTCCAATTTCCTGCATCATGCAATGGGATTTTACACTTGCGGTTACAAAATCAGTTTACAAGAATATAGTTAATAATGCAGTAAAACTTAATTATCGGTAACTAACAATGCAACTTCTCCAATACTCTTCAAACATGGGGACTCTTCAAACATGGGGAGCATGTGTGCCACTTGATTATGTTACAAACAGAACATAGAGAGAACAATTACAAATTTATTAACAATTGAAAATGATGGATTCAAGAAAGGAGTCAATTTAAGAAGCTTTTGATTTGCATTCTTTGGTATTCAGTCCAGCCCTCAGAGTTGGGCAATTCCTCTTATCATGACCGCTACCTTTGCACATGAAACATTTTCTATTATTCTTCTATAATCTAGAGATTTTCTCATGATGTCTTAATCTCTACTTAAACAATTTAAAATTCTAAAAAATTAGGAAGGGAAAAAACTAATAAGTTCTGAGGACACAACATTGTATGTCTATATTTTGTGAAGCGCCAGGTTGCTAATGAACAATGCTAAAGTGTAACATAAGGAAAACCGATAGTATCACTTATTGTTGCATTTACATACAAACCAATATAATATACGATGAAAAATCATTTATATTGAATTTTCAACATGGTCTACAAAAAATTCTAAAGGCATTCTAATTTTGGTATAAGCTAAACCTATAACTGAACTACAAATAAGTATATGCTCCCATAATGTACAAGCAATGTACATACCTAAAGAAACATAGTTGAAAACAAGAAAACCCCAAATAGAAGTTTGTTTATATGGTTTTTACGCAGTGAAGGCTCTATTGAATGTTGTAAAAAAAATTGCCCCTCGAAAAAGATGGCCATTGAAAAAAAAAAAAATTTGTGTGATTTACTAAAATCAATAAATTTCAACAAGTTAACTGTAAAACCAAATTTGAGCTCACTGATTTACTGAAATCAGGGAATTTTTCACAGATTGAGTTTCCTAGCTCTGAATTTTTAGACCATTTTATTGCTACAAACAAGAACCTTACAGTTGTAAAACCAAAAAAATAGTAAAACAGAACTCCAATTTTCTTCATTCAATAACCCTAATTTACTTGCAAATAAAATAAAAATTTGAAATAAATAAAAATAAAAATAAAAATAAACCAAAATCTTGTTCAAGCATCATTGAGCCACCTAAGGTTCACAAGCCCTCAAGAAATTTGATTCAAGAACCCAAAAAGTTTAGTACCTGACTTGACTCAGGAATTGCCTTCCTTCCAATTTTCAGGGCTATCCTGATCTATAAAGTCTTCTATGCAATGGAGATTGAGATGGAAAGATGGTTTGAGCAGCAAGCCTTCCAAGACTCTTCAAAGAAGAAAAACGTGATCCAACGATCTGAAGAAGCCCCATTTATAGAGCACCAAAAACTCCCATTCATAGAGCATAAAAAGACCCAACTAATAGAGCTAATCTTCGAGAGACCTCAGTAGAGTGAAAGAGATCCTTAGAAAGGGAGTAGAGAAAGAGGGAAGAGCAAGATAACCTACAGAAGGATGACAGAACAACATAGGGAGCTGATAGAGAAGGATTCCAAGCATTGGGGTCAAAAAAGGAACTGTGCGAGAGATCTATATATACAGAGAGAGGGCTGAACCTGGGATCTAAAAAAAAGTTAAAATAAAAAAATAAAAACAAAGTAAAAGGTTGACCTTTAATCTTCATTCAAATCATTGTTTGAAGGAGAGGAATTGAAAGAAGAAAGTAGATTGTAGTTGATCTAATGGCTTAAATTATGCCAACATGCCGTTGCATCGTATTATAATGCAACGGTTACATAATCATTTCCCATTCTTTCTTCGGTAAATAGCAACAATAGCCTTATTATGGTAGAGGTAGCAGGGGTGTTTGTGATAGTTTTGCTCATGCTTGTGTACGTGTATCGCCCGCAGTGAAGAAGTGTGCCGTTGTAATGTCCACATTAATCAATGAAATCAAACCCCTATATTTTGACTTATATTGAGAAATGCAGGCAAAACAATCCACACGTGGGTGAATTCCCGTTTCTCTCTCTCCTCCCCCGATGCAGCCCAATATTTTTCTCTCTTTAAACGGGTGAGATTCTAACCTTTAGCAACTCCCCCCAAACCACGCTTCTTTTCTCTGGACTCAGCCGTCATCTTTGCTGCATTACTCCATGCTGGGTTGTTCTCTTTCATCACTGGCCCCTTCCTCGCCTTTAATTGAAGGCTTTTGAATTTTAGGGTTTCGAGTGAAGTTCTGAAATCTAGAGTTGTGAGCGTCTCATTTCCACAAGGAAGTTCAACCCTGGGAACTGAGATATGTGTGGCCTCAAATAACGTACAACTGTCCTCCATTTCAAAAGTTTCGTGGAATCTTTTACATAACGGGAGGTTAACTTCCCTTTGTGAACGATCTAGGGTTAGTTTTTGGGATCGGCCCTCTTCTACTTCTGCAAATAAATAATGCATGTAACTCCGTAATTCTGCATCATCCTTATCTTCTTCTTCCGGTCTCATTTTGGGAAATAGGGTTCATGCGTTTTCTCTCTGCGTTTCTGCATCGTCCTTATCTTCTTCTTCCAGTATCATTTTGGGAATTAGGGTTCATGCCTTTTCTCTCTGCGTTTCTGCATCATCCTTATCTTCTTCTTCCGGTCTCATTTTGGGAATTAGGGTTCATGCCTTTTCTCTCTGCGTTTCTGGAATTCCTTCAAAGTTCTCTGAATACAATTTAGTGAGAAACAGAGCACTCTGAGAGTAAGGCAAGAGAGAGAAGAAACAACGGAAAGAAAATTAAATATATATTAACATATACGATAAAATAATATATATTATTTTTAAAAACTCGTGTCAAATCTGCATTGGACATGCCTATACCCGGATCCAATCCGAATTATTATTCGGATCCAAATCTTAGATCCATATCCTGATATAAATAGGATCCTAAATTCAAGTTTCAAATCTGGGTCGATTAAATTCTCAGCCCTAACTGCCCACAGAGAAAAACGAAAAAGAGAGAGAGACACCTGCCCTCTGTGAGCGAGAGAGAGACCCACCTGCCCTCTGTGAGAGAGAGAGAGAGAGACAGAGACGTGACATACCTGACAGAGAGACGCCTGAAAGAGAGACCCGCCTGCACAAGAGAGATATCTCTCATTGGGAGAAAAATAGCGGATGGTACGACGCGTGGGAAAGCAGGTTGGGAATGATAGAGGGAGATAGGGGATGGGAAGAGGGAGAAAAATAATGATTTCCTGCAAAAGAAAACTTGACTAGCGACGGCGTAATAGAAAACTTGACTAGTGAGGGCATACTCCAGACTGGGTCATAAATGCTCATCCTTGCCTTCAATTTTATAGACTGAGAGAGGGACGGGATGGGGGTGTCCCGTGGTCTATAGTGATTTTGTGGTTTATGGAATCTCCTGTAAAGGTGCTCCATGCTTCAAACTGACAAGCCCCAGGCGGTTAAAAATTGAATAAAGACTATAAGAAATTTAAAAATAAAAAATATAATAAAATAAAAATATATATATATATTGATTAAATAAAGCACAGCCAAATAAAACTTAAAATTAATCAAATAAATATATTTTAAGACCTTTTTTTGTGCCTCGAGATATTTTTAAATTTTTCTAAAAATAAATGAAAAAATATAAAAAAAAAATTTTATATACAAATGCCTAATTTATTTATATTAAATTTAATACCAAACCGAATAATACTCCTTAGCGAACTCCTAATGATGAGCTCACAGACGATTTGGCGCTTTAGTGGGTAGTCAGAGTTTTCCCTTGGGTTTTTTCCCAACCCTAAAAAAATGAGGCTAATTACTAAAAGTAGGGTCTCTTTTTAATTGTAGGGCCATTCTAGGGTTTCTAAAATGGGGTTTCTGATTTCCATCACTTTGGAATACTGAAATGGGTTTCTAATTTCAGCCTAGGGTTTGATGATTTTAACCTAGGTTTGCTTATTTTTCAACCTTGGGTTTTCTATTATATGCCTAGGGTTTTGTAATTTCAGCAAACCGATGGTAGCATAGAGGGAACGTGGAGGGAAACTCTTGTAGATTCCACCTTGTGATGCAGGAGATGAAGAGATTGAAGATCTCATGAGGCAAGTTGATGGAGGCAAAAATTATTGATTAATTTTATTCAATTTTTAGAGTTGGGTGGACGAAGTGGATATGTGCAACTTGAATTTTATGTGATCGTCACATACCAATGAAGATGGAGGGCAAGTTCTATCGGACAACTGTGAGATCAGCTTTGCTCTACGGGGCAAAATATTGGGTGAACAAAAAAATCCATTCAGTAAAATTTAGGTGCAGTATTAATAGGCGATAAGATGAGTTATAGTAGATTTAGGAGGGATGGCTTCACTGAGGGTATGGCTTTAATAAAGCAAAATGGTGGACCAGGGTTCTTGTGGCCGATCCTAATTAATTAGGAAAAAGTTATGATGATGATAATGAATTTTTATTTAGTTTCCAAATATGCATATTATAGTTTTAATTGTAGGTTGCTCTTTATCCTACAAAGTGATAATCAACTTCTATATGATGGGTTCTTTTATGAAATACTGGATTGGAAGTTATGTACATAGTTGTTTGATTATCATGAAACATCTCAATTGGATTGAACGATTGGAATTTCATATCCCGAAGTAGTGATTTAGCCATATCAATTCACTTATAGTTACATATATAGCTCTATATTTAGCCTATGCACTGGATCGAGCAATTACATTTTATTTTTTTCTTTTTCAAGTAATTAAGTTTCCTCCGACTAATGTACATAACATAAGTGTGCCCATTTTGTTAAATCCTAATATCTCTCTCGGGTAACAACTTAAGATATCTGATGATCCTATTGTCAGACTCCATATAACATGATCTAGGAGCATGCATAAACCTGCTCACGAGGCTAGTCGCATATGTTATGTTTAATGATGTCACAACCAAATAAATCAATCTACCCACATGTCTCTGAAAGCGACCCACATCTTTGACTTTGAGGGTAATTAAATGTACACCTCCGAGTCACCCAATTTTGAATCTAATGACTAAGTGTGATTGTCACCATATTGTACAAAACGTATATACTTTCAAGTGTTCATAGATCTGCTTGATATACATTAGTGCACTGTATGAAAATCGCATAATACATAACCTTTGGAACTTGGCCAATTCGAGATCATTTGGTGATGGATCCCAATTTAGGCAACCGATTCATCCGTTCCAACCGATTAAGTCGCCCTGCAATTCCCCTGTTTTATTAGATTTTTTTATATTTTTTATTTTTTAATACTTTTTTTGACCGCTAGGGACTTTCCCAATTAGGCAAGTTGAATAGAACTGTTTATCGGTTAGGCCGGTGAACTGCTTCGGGCTCCATGTTTGATTAACTATTCCTGTTCGATTTGTCTTGCATTGTTTGCCGTAATTATGAAAAAACAATACAATATGCATTACAAATTAAATCTTTTATATCTTATGATTTATATAACTGTTTTTAAAAAAAAAATAAAAATATCCAACTCATCATCAAAGCAGGAATCGGCAAGTGGCAATTCTGTTCCAAATGAGCGGATACCAAGAAGTGCATTCAATGCGAAGCACTGTGTTTAATCTTTAATCCGAATTCAAAGTTTCTCTAGCACAGGGTATTTTTTTACATACTCCTTGGTAAAATGTACAGACGCATTGAATACCATATCTTATCAGAACACATACGTACGATATGCCTTGCCACGATTGCTATGCATGTATGCCTTGCCATGAATTCTTTATCTTGCGACAAATACGTACAATATTCTGTACTTAAGATTTTATAGTCATGTACATTAAGGCTCTCATGACAAATTTAACATATGATGGTATTGAAATTCTTAAGGGAAAATTGCTAAAACCCCCCGGATGGACTTTTGACCCATTTTACATGTATGTGACTTTTTCTAGCAACTCCCCCCCCCCTTAAAATGATGTTTTTTAGCTAATACCGCTACACAAAAAGTTCATTTATTTTGAACAAAAATACCTTTCTTTTATCTAACAAATTATTTTCGTTAAAGAAGGTGGTTCGGAATTTTAAACAAGTGGTCCGATGATTGTTTTTTGTTGGAATGGACGGTCCGACGTTTCATGGTGGCGGCCTGGCGATTATTTTTTTACTGAAATGGGCGGTCCAGTATTTGAAAGTTACGGTCCGGCATTTTGAAGTTGTCGTCCGGCATTTTGAAGGGGCAGTTCGGTGTTTTGATATGCCAGTTTGGAATTTTGTAGGGGCAGTTTGGCGTTTTGAAGTATGCTAGATTGAGCAGTCCGGCGTTGTACAAATGCGGTCTAACGTTTTCTTTTATTGGGATCCGAAAATGATTTGTCATGTGAAGGGAGGGTACTGTCGTTAAAAAAGATGTAACTTTTTGAGTTGGGGGTATTAGTTATAAAAGATGGTTTTTGAGAAAAAAAAAAACATGAAGAAAGTTTAAGGCGGGGGTAGAGTATCTAAAACGTATATTTTTGGGGCTTTTTAGCAATTTTCTCTTTTTTTTATTTAAAATAATTATTCATTGATATATAGAAGTTTCAAAAATATTACAAATAAAAATAATTAATTGAATCATTTATTACAACTGTAAATGTAGAATGTTATCCATAATGGGCTACCGATGAAATAGAACAGTTAAATGGCGAGAGTATAATGTACATTAAATTCCATCACATGAGGCTACGAGTATATCTTTTTATTTCATTTTATGACAAATACAACCTCGTCAATTCTTACATTAGCTCAATATTACATAGAGATCATCACCATCTATTTCTTTAGTTATGATATCTAAATTCCTGACAACATAAAAAATTGATTGTTTTAAATTAATCACAAATGATAAATAAGGGTTCTAAAAAAGTAAAAAACAACAAAAAAAGGATCCCATAAAAGTATATTAAAAAAAACAAAAAAACAAAAGAGCAAAAAAAAGCTCAAACTTAAAGCCTCAAAGCTTGGAAAAGTTTATATAGAGCAAGGCTCTAAACAATCAAATTAGAGCCCACCTCAAAAATTTCACTGGAAAAGGTTTTTTTGATGCTCAAATATCCTCAAATTGATTATCTCAGCATCAAGATGCATGGACATGAGAAAATAATAGATTTCAAGTTTTGAAAATGGTGTATCTTGTAACACATTTTTGGACCGTCAATTTTCAAGATTTTAAAATTTTCATGGATCGATCTACACTATTTTTAAGCTTTGAATTTTATAATTAAAAATTAAAATATATTTTAAGGCTATTACAAAGATTTTTAGTATTGGAACCACATTTCTTGATACTATTTGAAGGTGGGTTCTAATTTGATTGTTTAGAGCCAAGACTCCACACAAACTGCCAATAGAAAGTGTATGGATTGCATTCATTATAGAGAAGACTTTCCAAATAACTTTTTAAATATAAGAATGATATGATATGCATTAGTTTTCGAATATACGTGCATGCGCGTGCTCTACAATCATCTTTATAAATTTTATAGGGAAAATTACTAATATCCCAAAATGAGCGGTTTAGATTTTTTACCCCCACCTTAATATTTCTTTACTCTTTTTTTTAAAAAATTAACTTTTCTTACTAAACCCTTCAACCCAAAAAAAGATGAGTTAAAGACAATTTTTACCCCCGTTTTGACCTTTACCCGTACCTCTCCCGTTAACCCATTTACTCTATTTTTGTCACGAACCTTGGTTTTTACCCATTCTTCTATCTTCCTCACGCCGATGGCTTCTTCCTCAGGGCTCATGGCCTCTTCCTCAGGCTCACAGCTTTCTCCTTCACCACCACGGCTTCTCCCTCATGGTTTTCTCTATTTTCTTCGGCTTCTTCCTCACCTCTTCTTCCCACTGAATTTCCCTCTCCATTAGCTTCCTCACGGTTTTCTTTCTCTCTCCATTGGCTTCCTCACACTAATCGAATCTCTCTGTAGGCAAAATAAATAACATATAGAGGAAATTCCAACCCAATATAGAAGTATTCTGGAGAGAGAGGAGAGGAGAGAGAGTGTGTCTGTGTGTTTGAGAAAGATAGAGTGAGATTTTACACAATATAGAGGTATTCTAGAGAGAGATAGAGATTTCGCACAATAGAGGTACTTTAGAGAGAGAGAAAGATAGAGATTTCACACAATAGAGGTATTTTAGAGAGAGAGATTTCACACAGTATAGATGTTTTCTAGACAAAAAAAGAAGGTTGTTTGGTGAAAGAAAACCAGTATTTATAGCAAACAAAGAATGAAGGAACAAACCAAGACCTTGGAGCATTTTTGGGGGATCCGACATTTTTTGAATGCACTCATTTATGAAACGCGCTCCG